GTAGGGAAAGTATTAAGCACTCCTACAACGCTCTTAATCGGTACCCTTATGATGAAGTTAACATAGTAAGAATTAATAATTTAAATATTTAATCTCCTTTATTAATGACTATTTACATGCTTGAAATTTGAATTACACAATTGACTCTAAAATGTCTACATGATTGCTTTTATTATAACAAGATTTATTAAAGATAAGAAACAAAAGGGAGAGAAGAAGATTGACTGAAATACCTCTTGGACGAGCTCTATTGAATCTTCAAATATGAGGATTTTTAGGCGCTTTTTGGCTACCTTTCACACTACAATATGTCTCACCAAACTTAAGAAATACAATAGGAGGGAGAGAGAGAGAAATTTCGAGCTCTAAGGAATTTTGGACGAAATTTTTTCCAAGAACTGTACCCGACTCGTCTATTTATAGACATCAAAAAGTTTCCAAAACGGCCCGTTCCAAAATCGGAACGACCCGTTCTGGATCTGACCATTCTGTGTTAATTTTCAACTGGAACGACCCGTTCTAAAACTAGAACGGCCTGTTCTAGAGATGAGATTAACACATAATTGACTAGGCTAGAACGGCCGTTCCAAACAAGGGTTTTTAGGCCTTTTTAATAACTTGGAACGACCTATTCCATTTTAAGGAACGACCCGTTCCAGTTTCGGGAACGACCCGTTCCAGTTAAGGTTTTAGCCCTTTTTTAGGATCTTGGAATGACCCGTTCCAAACTAGGATTTTAGGCCCTTTTAGGAACTTGGAACGGCCCGTTCCAAATTGGGAACGACCTGTTCCGGTAGCTTGTTTGGGCTTTTAGGCCTTCTTATATCATGTCCTGTTATTTCCATGCTTGGGAGCTCCATTTCTTTGATGATAAACGTCCATTACATTGCTTTTTTTGGTCTGAACAAAATTAGGTGTCTACAACTGCCATTCTTTACTTGTCGTTTGGAATAGCTATGTGTTGCTTTTCCAAAGGCAAGTAAAGACGTAGAAATTTCGTCCAGGTCTTCTCTTCGTCTCTTTGGTGCTGGGGCTTCTGCATTGTTTCCCTTGGATAGGTGTATTTGCTCGTATCCTCACCCTTTAGAGCAGTTGAGTGTTGGTTGCGTACTCTATTGGGTAACAAGGCTGACAAAATGTATACCTGATCTTCAGTCTTCGAGTAGAAGCTCCATTGTTTCTCTTGTGATAGTGAGGTGAAAATTTGGATCTTTACTCTTGTTTTGACAATAGATACCTTCATGTTATTTCCTTCGGGTAGACGGTGTTTCTTATATCCTTGCCCCTTGGAGAAACCGAGTGTTGGTTTGTATGCTCTGTTGGGTGTCAAGGATGGTAAACCAAAACATCTAGGCTTCAAGATCCATGTGAATGCCCCATGTCGCTTGCTGTGTCCGAATCTTCTCCTTTACTTCAACAGTGTAGATGCCCCCACACCATTTCCTTCGGGTAGATGGTGTTTACCTGTATCCTTGTTCCTAAGAGCAGCTGAGTGTTGGTTTATATGCTTCGTCGGGTGATAAGGATGGTAAACTTGTACCATCTAGGCTTTTGGCTTTGATGTCGATGCACCCTACTGCTTCTGCTTGCTTCATGGTAGTGTGTTCCTTTATTTGTAGCTTGTTGAAAAGGGAGTATATTCTGAGCTCAGCCTCTCCAGGCTAGACTGATATTTAGGGCTTCAATCGACCCATTGCTAGTTTTGGAATCTAGCAACCCTCACCGATCTTGTACTAGTTTTGGGGATCTAACAACCATTACCGATCTTATACTAGTTTTTGGGATCTAGCAACCCTTACCGATCTTGTACTAGTTTTGGAGATCTAGCAACCCTTACCGATCTGTACTAATTTTAGGGATCTAGCAACCCTTACCGATCTTGTACTAGTTTTGGGGATCTAGCAATTCTTACCGATCTTGTACTAGTTTTAGAGATCTAGCAACCCTTACCGATCTTGTACTAGTTTTGGGGATCTAGCAACCCTTATCGATCTTGTACTAGTTTTGGAGATCTAGCAACCCTTACCGATCTTGTACTAGTTTTCTCGTTGGTGTTGTGGGATGAAAGACTCCTAGGTGGATGAGAAGGAGATGTTTGATGTGCCCCAGTGTTGGTGGGCAGAGAAGTGGATTGCTGGTAGAGATTCCGATGCTGCCCCCTGCCATAATGAGTATTGTGATGCCTCTCCAGGCGTTTGCTTGTGGTAGTTTTTTTTTTTTTAATTTCATGTTTTGTTTAGCTTCAACTTTTTCATATTTGAAGCTTTTCTTTTTCTGCTATTTTTATAAATGCTTCGACTTTT